TAACTCTCTTTCTAGTAAAGCAAATTCGATTCTGTAACTTGCAAACGATATAAAAATAGTGTAGTTTTAAAACTATGTTGAGATATTTTTATAAATTTAATAAATTTTAATAGTTATTTAACGATTAAATAATAGAGACCTGCTAAATTTTATATATTAATGTAGAGTTCCTATCCATTATCTGTTTATCCATTTATCTATTGGATATCCAGAACTGAATTTATTCGGATATCCGTTTTACTCGGATAATTATCCGAATATTTGTCAGATTATCCGGATACTAATAGTAAATGGATATCCGGATAAATTCAGATATGGATAAATGGATGACGGATTTATCCAGATTGGACCTCTACATTAATATTAAATATGACAACATTTTAAAACCACACTATTATTATATCATTTTCAAGTTACAGAATCGAATTTTCTTTACTAGAAATGGAATTATAACATTTTGAAAATACATAGTTTTTATTATAATAAATTGATCGACAAATCTTACATAGTGGGCCAATCGGATCTCTTGCAGTATAGGTGAGACTATTAATAAAAAGTATAATTAATCAATTGATTTAGAATAGGTATCATCTATATTGCAAGAGATCCGGCCAATCATATAGTGCTGCACTATGTTTGTAAATCATTTAGCGTGGAACACCCCAAACTTGGTAAATTTTAAAGGTATCATAATATTTACTAAATACGTATATGATAATCCTTATCAGTTAAGGTATATTAAAATCCCCATGATTGGCTAAATAATGAAATAATGATAACATTAAACAATGTAAAAAAAATTATCCAATCCATTTTTGGATCTAAATTTTGATTTCGGGATTGGATAATGTTTTATATTGTTATATTCATGATTATTATATTTATTTAGCCAATATTAAGGCTTTTGATCATACTCCTTACCTGCTGTGGTACTATTTTGACAAAATAAATAAAAAGTAATTGCAGTGCAAACATAGTGCCACACATGACAGTATAACCATATAATTTAGATTATTAACATGCCTGATGACGTATACAGTATTAATATTCACATTTTGCAAAAAAAAAAAAAATTTATATCAAAATTAACCACATAAATAAGAACACTTGAAACTTTATCGAAATGAAATAAGTTTTTTTTTTAGATTGCTTTTTTTAGAAAATTTGTTTAATTTTAAACTTTATCATTAGTAAGTACATTTGACAATCTTAAATTTTCAATTTTCACTTCTATTATACTGTAATTACTAGAAATCGCTCATGCGAGCGTTTTCTCCGCCGTCCATGATCATCTAACTAATGATCATTTGTAGCAGACATTGTAACTAAGTTCACACTTTTTAATGAAATAAAGTCCAACGTATAACAACAGATTCAAGCAGAACTATAAGAGGCATACAATAAAGTTTCAGCAATTTTTTTATTTTTTATGTAGCTTTTTGGATTCTTTCCGTTTGGCTTTGTTCAAACCCAAATATATATATATATATATATAATTTTTAATGTTGCAAAGTCCCTTTGAATGTGTACCAAGTCCAGACATAGAAGTAATAAATAAATTTGAAATTATTTTACCAAAAAATCTTACTTCTGCGTATTATCCAAATGAAGTTTGAGAAAACTTCAGATTGTTCGCACATCACTCACAAATCATACACATAAGGCACAAGCCGCGCAAAACTACCGAGCATACTTCATAAAAATATGAACTCTCATGTTACAAGCTCTTGAAAAGTAAATACATAATCTATATAAATATTTATTTCATTTTATTTTATTTTATTTTTATTTTATTTTTATTTTATTTCATTTTATTTTATCTTTAGTTTATTTTTATTTTTATTACCTTTAGTTTACTTTACTTTATTTTTTTTTATTTTGTTCTATCCTTTTGTTTATTCATTCTATTTATTATAATTTTTTTTATATAGAATTAATTTTTGGCATAAAACGTCTAATATTGTTATATATCATAACAATTCAAACGGCTGGCTAACGGCTAATGTTTACAGAGCCGAGCATACATACGGCTCTGCAAAACATAGCTGAGCTGTCTATGAGCCATGCAACTTGGAACTGAGTTAAACAACTTTTTTGACTGCGCATCCTAGATTATTATGCGCAGATGTGAATCTGTCCCGCAGTAATTGTGAACCGATTTTGGGAAAGTTTTATACGGTCTTCAGTTAATAAGTTATAGAAATTTTAATTTTTTCTAACTATATTTAATAAAGGGTTATTAATTTTTTGAACTAGTTTTAGATGAGAACGGTAGGGACCGAATGATTTAACCACAACAAAATTGTCACGGCAGATTCTCGATTTTGATTGGCTAAGAGCGACGATCAAAAGATTAGGTCGGAATTACTCATAATTTTACCAATGAAATCGCAGCCGCCCATTAAGTGAAAATTGTTCCTGGGCCAATTTTACCACAACGTGGGCTTATTTTTTAAAAATTTCTATTTTTGTAAAGAAAAAATTAAAAAATTAATTCCGGCCGGAAATTAGTAAACAATTATGTATGCGGGCCAATATTTTGAAGATCCTCGGCCGTTAGCCAATCAAAATTCGAGGATCTGCCGTGACAATTTTGTTGTGGCAGCTATGGTTAATATTCGATCATCGGCGTTGAGGAAATTCAGTCGATCGGTTCTTAATTGGTCCTATCTAAATTACTCGAAAACTTCGAAAATTGATACAAAAATTTATAAGCCTCTATTAAATATAGTTTAAAGAAATTAAATTTTCTACGACTTTATTAAACCAAAAATGCCAATTTTTTACTAATACGTATTGCTCAAAATTGACTAACAATTGTTGCTGCGGGGCTGGTTCACATCCATAATCATGTGACATGTAAAATTGCTATCCAATCAGAGTTGAAGATTTTCTAAGCCAATCGATAATCTGCATAACAATTCAGATCATAGATTATTGTATGGAAATGGAAAATGTTTACTCGATTGAAATATTTTAGTTTAAACGCATAAATTTATATTTTTGCCTACCATACATATTGATCAATGAGGCTTATGAGTTTGTGAATGAAGATTGTTGAACTCACCATGAAAGCAACACACTACGTCAGTTTACATAAACTCTCCATTCCTGATATGTACGATAGGCTTCAATTATTACTTATTACTCCGTCTCTGGTACATATTTTCGATGCGTGAGAACAAGATTTAAAACTTAGTTCGAGACACATTTGTCTATGATTTGGTAATAAACTATAAATCGTTTACTTAATGAATGTAAATGTATAATATGCATTAATTATTTATTCAGAATATATAACATAACAATAATTATAATAACTAGATTAATGTGTAACATCGTGTGCCCAAAGTTTGTTATAGAAACGTGAGCTTGTTTTTGTTACACCGAGGCAGCTAATAATTTTAGCAAAAATTGTAACTATTTATGAATCAAAAACGTAACATTAAATGTCCTCCGCTACGTTCCGGACAATAGTAATAAAAGATAATGACAAATATAATAATGACCAGTAATAATAATGACAAATAATAATAATAACAAATGCAGTAATAATAGTAATACCAATAAAACCAGTTTGCAAATGAAATATTTCTGTTCAACCTTTTGATTTTGGTTATGATGACTTCTGCAAGATCCTTTTTTAGTATAAGTAATGGTTTTCATTTATCTGATTATAACAGGGATCATACATTGTGATCAGGAATATTTCCATGCTTGTGTGAGAAGAGAATGATTGTGTGAAAAAATTTCATTGAATCTATTATGATTGAAAATGTTTTGTGGAATAATCCTCAGCTACAATATAATAATGTAGAATACTTTCTTGGAATCATACCTGTTTAAAGTTACTAATTAATACACATTGTTACAATCATAATGAAAGCTATTATTATTTTTGATTGATATATTTAAGAATCTTCCAGGGACCCCAAAAGTGCAGTGACGTACTGTATTTAGGTAGTTGGCTTACATTAAACTTAATTAAGACCGATGTGATGATCTTACAAAATTTTAATTTGGTCAGAAGTTAGTTTTTCGATTTTTTGAATCCAAAAAGAAAACTTGGCCTGCCTCTTGACTAAATTGGTCCGGAAATTTTTAATTAATGGGCATCTGTGGTTTTACCTGCATTGGTAGAATTTTGCAAAATTTTGTTCTGGCTGCGTTAAAAATTATGTTACAGCACTCTTTAGGGCTAACACAGGATGTAGTTCGAATTTCGGCCTAAATTAAGCTTAATTCGGGCCATGACTCAGAATAACTCCTTGGCCCGCTATTACGCGCAAATACGGTAAAAGATGCCTTCGATTACATTAAAATAATAGATAAATCTTTGCTTAGGAATAGCTTATTATAAATACTTAGATAATAAATGTTATATTCCTCAAGTTAACGCGAATAAAATGAACTTGAATAGCTTATTTTAAATACTTAAATTGATGAATGTTCTTTGTATTCACTTCATAAATTGATACGAATAAATAGAATTAAATATGTCAACTTTTTTAGTCGATTATTTGAGACAGTCTACTATCACTGCTCCGGACATTAGTTAAGCCTGTTTACTTAGTATAAATTAAAGTCTAATATTTTTAATTTTATTTATTGCAAATACCGCATTTAATTATAAACTTAATATAACTATAATATAGTTATGTATTGTATAAAAATGATATAAAAAATTTATTAAAATTAAATAAACAAGAATTATTAAAAAGCTATTAAACAGAAAATTAAAAAAAAAATTGTTAATAATACTAATAATACTAACAATAAATTAATATAAAATCTCAGATAAAAAATTTAAAAAAAAATATTAAAAAAAATAACAATTTATTCTAATTCTGAAAATAATATGCAAAATAGCTAGTAAAAATAAATTAATATTTGCTAAATATCATGAACTTCTCTAAAAAGTCTTATGATTATTTTAATAATATTTATTCAACTAAGTTAATAGGCCATTTAAAACAAATTGAATTTGTTCCGAATCTATAATATACAGTAATTAAGTTATATGTTTACTTATAAAAATTATATTAAAAGTTATACATATAATATCAGTACTACATTCACCTATTATATTAATTAAGTAAGATGTATATATGGCGTCTTGGTGTTGCTGCGAAGTTGTTGATAATGTAGGAATAATCTCATCAGCCTTCAAAAATTCATTTCTTATTTTGAGTTGAATATCATCTAATTCATTTGCATTTTTGTCAAGAATTATTTTCCATTCTTGTAATTTTTCATAAGCCATTTTGGCCGTCGGTCGTTCTAATGGATTACGATCCATACATTCATTTGCAAATTGAATAAAACATCTTGGTGTTCTTGGTGCAAATTCTGGACATAATCCTTTAATTATTTCAAGTTGAAAACCATGAGTATTATGTGAAACATCGTTAAAAGGAGGTTTTCCTGTTGACATTTCTGGCATAATTACTCCAAAACTATAAATATCTGATACTCTTGTATATTCTTTGGTTAAAAATATTTCGGGTGCTATATAAGGTGCCACACCATATATTTCATTATCTGGACCCAATTCATCTATTTTTCTAGAAAGACCTAAATCTGAAATTTTCGGTTCTATCTTTGATTTCTTCCCAGTGTTTGGTGATAACATAAATATTTCTCCGGTAAAAATATTTTGTGACCACGAAGCTTCATCATCATTAAAATCCGCAGTACTGAACATAAGTATATTTCCGCTGTGAAAATCATGATGAACATATTTTTGATGAATATGATATAACGATAAGTTATCTGATATTGAGCAAAGTATTTCAAGCTTCTGTTTCCATTTGAGTTCTGTAAAGTTTTTTGACAAATATTGTCTAAGGTCTCCCTGATCTGCATATTCAAAGACCATCATATATTCATTTTTAGACGTATTATAGGTTATTCCGTATGTTTCTATTCCATATTTTTCAATGTTTACAGTAACCTATTAAGTTGGCATTCATAATGTGATTTAAACTAAAAAAAATCAAGTAAATATAATTTTAGCATATACAAAGTAACAATTAATATAAATAATAATGATTTTTACCTCCTTTAAAAAATCTAATGAAACACCTTGAGTCCCGTTTAAACTTTTAAGCGCAACCTTGCAATATGGCTCACGTTCTTGTTCCATTAATCCTTTCTTAATGTTATAGATTCGTTTGCCATCAATCCAAATTGCAAAATATACTGTTCCAAAACCACCTCTACCAATTTGTTGAATATTTTTTAGCCTTTCAAAAGGTATCCATTCAATTATTTTATGATAATATGCAGAATTCATTTGTGCTTCCCTTATAAAATCATCTATGTCTTTGTTTCCGCTTGCCCACTTTTGGCTTATCCAAGGATCACATGAATGACAAAAATAAACACCAGTATTATATTGTTTACAACGTTGACAGATTCCAAACCTTGGAAGAATTTTCTGTTTTCCAAATGCTTCTTCATCAGGAAATTTTTAAATTGGTTGGTAATCGATTGACAGATGGATATGTCAATCGATAAGCAGCACCCCTGTTGATTGCCAGCGATACAGATTAGAGTCGATTGATGCTGATTAAAATCGATTATTGCGCTTTGCAAAAAGATGTGGCCTCTGCAGATCACAATGCTGTATGAAAATCGGAGATTCTGTAGATTTTAAGAATCTTACCAATTTCAAATGAATATAAATATGACTGATCGAAAATATGAATTAAATAGACAATTAAGAATCTAAGAAATTTTCCTCGTTCATCATCACAAAAATCATGGGGTCACAACTTTTTGCAAAGCGCTATAATATTGATTAGTATCGCTTGATTTAAAATCGATTAGCATCAAAACAAATTAAAATCGATTATTTTTTCATCGATTGTGCATCGATTAGTAACCAATATCGATTATTATCGATTTTTCTAATCGATGGCAATCGCCCCTGTAGCTGGTAATCGATATCCACCCTATTTAAAAATTTCCTGATGCTTCATTATCCGATTTAATTCCTATTGATCTATTTTTAAATCATCAAATGATTCTTTAAATCTGCCCATTGCCTTATAAGTATATCCACGATTATTTAATGCGTTTATGGCGGTTTGCAAAAAGGTGTGACCCTGTGATTTCGTGATGATGATAGCGGAAAATTTCCGAGATTTTAATTCCCTATTGATCATAATTTTCGATCAATAACGTCTATAGTTTATTCGGAATCTTTAAAATTCTCTAAGAATCGAAAAATCTAATAGAATCGGCTGATTTCTCGTGATTTTACATGACATTATGATCTGCAGAGGTCACACCTTTTTGCAAACCGCTATAAATAATTGGGCTTGATTTTTAATGCTTTATTAAGATCCGCTAACGATTCTTCATACCTTTTCATTATTCTGTAAGTTTTACCACGATTATTTAATGCTATAAAGTAATTTGAATCTATTTTTTAAAATCTACAAGTGATTCTTCATATCGTCCCGTTGTTAGATATGTTATTGCGCTTTGCAAAAATGTGTGACCTCTGCAGATCATTATGTTCATGAAAATCACGGGAAATCAGGCGATTTTTCAATTCTAAGAATTTTACTGATTTCCAATATAAAGATGCAATCAATAATAATATCGGCGAATTTGCGGAATTAAGGCCATATTTTAACAATGCATTCAATAAATTGATTACTAATCAATTCGTAAAGTCAAAATTACGTATCAATATAAAATATCACAATGCTTTAAATCTTTGAAATATTTACTTTGATACTGATGCGTATTTTGTAAAATATGCCTCCTGCATATAGTAAAGACTTGAAATCGCGTATTATTTATCTACATTATGATGGCTATTCGTTATTACAAATTGCGAATCTTCTTTATATTAGCCAAGGTTTGGTAAAAAAAAGTTCTACGGTTATATAAAAAATGGGGAACTGTGGTTAATCCTTGGCAACAAATGCGTGGACGTCATAAAACTTTTAATCAAAGTGACATGAACGTAAGTGTAAAGGTTTTTATTATACATATATTACTGTATTTATGTTAATAACTATAAATTTTTTTATTACATAATAGGTACTACGAAATATTATTCAAGAAAACGTAAACTTGTATCTTGATGAAATTGTTTTACAAATGGAACTTCGGTGTGGCAAAAATGTCTCAATTTCTACTGTATGGCGCTCTTTGGCTTACTGTGGAATAACACGAAAAAAAGTATTTATTTTTTTAATAATTATATAAATATCATACTAATATTTTTTTTATTTTTAGTTGCATAAAGCAGCAAAAGAACGTAATGAGCTACTTCGCAGTGCATTTATGGCATGTATAGGTTCTCAATACAAAAGTAATCAATTAGTCTTTCTAGATGAATCATCTAAAGATGAACAAACTATTTCTCGTGGATATGGTTATTCTGAAATAAATTTAAGAGCTGTTAAAAAAGTAGTATTTCTTTGTGGTAAATGTTATTCAATTTTATCTGCACTTACTTTAGATGGCATTATTGCAGTTGACATTATAGTGGTAGTTATACAAAAACAAAATTCAAAGAATTTGTAATTTCTCAAGTGGTATGAAATATAATTATTGTATATATTTTTTTAAATTAATAATAAAGCAAGTTTTTATTTTTAGCTACCTCAAATGAATACATTTCCATATAAAAAAAGTGTTTTAATACTTGATAACACAAGAATTCATCATGATGATGGGTTAATTAATTATTTAAATGCATTTGGTATACATATTGAATTTCTTCCTCCTTATTCGCCTGATATAAACCCAATAGAACTAGCTTTTTCACATATAAAAAGATTTTAAAAAGATATTACTACTTTGTAAAAAGCTGCCCAGATCCATACTATCCTTTATAAGTTGCATGTTCACAAATTGACCCATCACTATCTAGTAAATTTTTTAATATGGCAGGCTATAAGTAAATGTTTTTTCAATTGATAATGTATTATGAGATGTTGTAAAAGCTATATTATATTTTGCTGCATATTCATGTAAAGTTTGCTGTGTACCAATAGTATCAACATCACATTTTTTAAAATTTTCATCTGATAATTTGGATAATAATTATACAGAAATTCTTTGTTGTTCAAATTTAAATAAAAATTTTTGGTAATAATCTTCAGTACTTTCACATTCATCAACATGTTTTAAGAAATCTTTCATTGTAGGTAACATTGTTCTACTAGTTGGTTGAATAGGTGTATTAAAAGGCAATCCATAAATTTGTAAAGAAAAATATAGTAAAAATGAATTAGGAAATAAAGGCAAAAAATAATATTGTCCTGGAAATATTGGTTGTTGTATAAAATTAGAATGTTGAATTAAATTATGCTATTGCGATGATAATAATATTTGATTTCTTGCTTTTGAAGGATGTTTATATGCGAATAAAGAATAAGTAGGTAGTTCTGTTGGTGATACTACTATCTTGCTCTAAATATTTAACATATGAATAAATATATATTATATTTACTATAAAATTTATAAAATTACTTACAATTTCAGATGCCCAAATTGAAAGCATCATAAATGTAATTTCAATATAGTTTTCTTTGGCCCCATCTCTATTTAGACAAGGCTGATTATGAATTGTGAAATGATTTTCTTTATGAATTTTCAGAACATTTTTTGCCATTAATGTTTCCATTGAAGATAAATTTGAAACTTTAGAAATATAATTTTTATTTTTAGGATCTATAATAGTATCAATGTCTGAATTATCATCATTGGGCTCAAGTTCCTAAATATATAAAGATTATATAAGTTAAATATATATAAATATAATATAATTAAAAATGTTTTTTTTACTTATATTTATTTTTCAGTTTAGATTTGAATTAATAAATGTTATGAAAAAAGCCATATTAATATTTTTGTAAATATATTTCTGGTAATTAGTCTGAAATTTTATAAAGTCTTAAGTATCCTCTAATTGAGTATCTGCCTTTGTGGCTTTTTCAGATTTGAAAGCAATTTAATAATTACTTGGTTCAATTAGATTTTTTTTATTAAAGTTTCAATATTTGTGTGAATCTCAGAAAGCAACTCATCTATTGCAGATACTTTAGAAGTATAACACTTTACTGAAAGTGAAGTTCCATTTTCTAATTTGATAAAAATTTCATAATTATATTCATATTCAATATCCTCATCAGATAAAGAATTATCACCAGCATAATCCTCATTACTATATTTCTTTTTACAATAATTTTGTTTATTCAACTCCAGTTCATATATTTTTTCAAATTCAGAAGATTC